TTTGAAGCTTTTTCAATTTTCAAAAAAGCTAGATTTTCACATTAGTTAATTTTCTCAATTCAATAACCAAAAAGCGAATAATTGTATTATTCCATTCTTAAAATTTATATAATACTATTCGTTACCCGCCCGCTTCGATGGGTATTTTATTACATTGTAAAACTAAACATTCCTTTGGGTTATTGTTGCTCGGTTCTAGTATTATGGTTTTAATTGTATTGAAAAATATTTCGATAACCATCGCTTCTGGATTCAAAAAGGATAGCATTTTAAAACAGAAATATATTTATTACTCACGATCCTGCAGTTCCTCCCTCTCGTAGTTGATTTCGTCAAACATCATTTTTAGCGAACTCTACTCATTAAAAGAAATATGATTGCCAACTTACAAGACTACTAATCTAATTGCTCAAATTAGAAAAGAAGATAAATCTAATTGATCAAATCAGAAGAAGCACGTTCGCTAAATTCTCAATCTGTAGGTCTAATAAAACAAAAATGGGATTTTTATTATTATTTGTGTGCGTGTGTGTACAACTGCCAGCAACGCCCCTTGTCAGTCGATTTTCGAAATTCCAGTTATTAGGGGATCTGTACTATTAAAAGGAATATTCCTGAGAAACTCTTCAAGACTAAATCTAATATTCCAAAGATTTTGTTGTGTGAGTAAGTGAGCATGAATCACTTTTCTCCTATATGGAGAGAAATTAAAAGCATTACTTCAATAAAGGTAATGGTTACGGAATTCTACTTCAATTGATAGTATTTTAACATCGTCCTTGGACCACCCTACACGAGGGTTGAAGCATAATACGAGACATAAATCAAAAGCATAACGCTAAGTGTCCACTGTGTAGTATACATTCCTCCTTTCCCATTAAACTTACAATCGTATTATTGTATCTTGAAGTGAAGCTAACAAAATCAAAGATCAAGCAGAATGTCAATTTGAATTCAATTTTTGTATTTTATTTTAGACTTTTTTAAGCATTTGTACGAGTCTGCAGTGAAAATGAAACTTAATTTAATTAATCAAAATGTATAATCTAAATTTTTATCTAAAAATTTATTTCAAATTTAATCTAAGTTTTATTAAAATTAAAAAAAGAAGTCATATCAAAGTCAATGTGTAACCAAGAAAAAAAAATACTTTAAGGGCTTAGAAACACCAAAGCAGAAATTCGTTATCTGGAAAGAATTTTTTTTCGATAAACTGCGAAAATACTATTCCTGTTAAAACCATTTATACAACCCATCTGCCGAACATTTTAAAGTGTTAAAATTCCTACGAGTCCGTAAAGTTCTTTTTTCCAGAAAGACACAAACGTTTTCATAAATGCTTTACATTTTAATTGGCTCAAACATTCATTTACAGTAAGAAAAATTAATTGTATGTTTTAAGAAAATTTAGTATTATTTTAGAGCCGATATTTAGCCAAGATGTTTGAAATCAGCAATACATTGTTATGCAAGGCAAGATTTACATAATTTTTCAACTCCTCTATTAGCGCACACTCTCTCTATATATTTATTTATTTATTTATCTTGGTGGAATTTTCAATCGTTAATAAAATACATTTTAAAGCGCTCCATTGAGCTGGAATTTTATATGCATGATTATTTTGGATGACAATACAATAATTTAATTATAATTAATAAAAATTAATTGATTTAAAACTAATTATTTAAATAATTAGAAATACAGCCACGTTGGCATCTTTTTGGCGGCTTGTGTCAAAATTTGAAAAGGTTTTTTTCTCACATTTTAAAGCATTCAGTTGTACTGAAATTTTATGTACACGATTGTTTTGGATGACAGTACTATACTTTAATGATAATTAAAAAAATAATTACCACTTAATGTTGCGATTATGTCCTATGTATATACATATTTATATTAATTGTATCTATTTAATAAAAAGTAGCCAAAATAAAGTTTTTCTTTGTTAATATAAATAGGAATTGGCTTAATTTTTTTATATTACTGGTTTCTATATACACTGCTATGCCAAAACATTATGTCCACCATGTTTTCGAGGTAATCTTGCCGTACACTTACATCGTATTGATGTGTTTCCATTTTTGAAGTACCCACTCTACAGGCATGAGATGAGGAACACAGATTACCTCAGGAATTGCACAACTCTCGATCATCAAAATGACGAAGAGAACCAACTTCTCACTGAAGTCTGATTCTATTGGTCAGCCCGTCGCCGAAAGGCCTAGCATCCAAGGGCGATCATTAGCTAATAGTAGCAGTAATGTGACATGGAAGCCTGTATAGTGATAAATCCTCACACAATCGTTACTGAAAGGTAAGAGTAGATGCCATGGAATGATAACTATCAATGCTTAAGAAATATTCCTTAGAGTAATATGCACACAAGTACTCCCCTTAATTACTTAGAACAGTCTCTAGAAAGAAAAAGCCTCGTAATTGTGTACCTAACCATGTTAAGATCAATTCTATATTATGCAAGTACTGTGTGGAGATTTATTAACAAAATTAACTTTAAAAATTATTGATTGGAGTCTGTTTGATATTGTTCTTTGAAACTACACGTTGCATTATGAGACATACTTCGTAATTTAGAATCATAGTTAAATGACGACACCCGATATGGGAACCTATATATTCGAAACTTTCTCTCTAAACCAATGAGGTGATTGCAAGTCTCAACGGATTTGGTGTACATCACCCTACTTTAGGCAGGTTTTCAGTGACATCAACAACTCAATAACGCTGGCTACGAGTTAACAATCACTGCCATATGACTACTGTATTGAGTAAAAAAATTTCCAGAACTATTTAATATATCATGTTCTTATAATTACCTGCAAAGCAGAGTGCACAAAATCAGAGAAAACAGATATGCATTTTACATACAGGACCCCAGACTGTAAAATTCATACCGTTCAGAAGTTGTACCCCCAACGATTCATTGAGGCAAAATCCCAACCATACCAGGTTTGAATCCAACATCAATATTTATGTGACACAGGTTCTTTCTTTAACCCGATCAGGACCATGATCACATATATGTGATCACGCGTTTCTCCCTCCACGGCCCATGGTATCATATATGCGATTGAACTTTCCCTCCTCGTAGGCCCATGACCACACCGGTGTGATAAGAGTTGGGAATGTTTTTATATTAATTTTTACACGCACACTAGATGGCGGTACAAAACCGGGTTTTTTTTCGAATACTGTTTCATAAAACTTTGAACTTCAATATGTGCTTTCGGCTCCGTGTTTTTTTTAATTAGATCCGTAATATTTATGAACATAAACAACTGCACATGTTTATTTTCGAGAGAATCGGGCATTTAGAGGTTCGTGATCTATTGTTTTATGGATTTCTGTTTATATTTTGAATAAGTTGGCTTAGTTTTCTAATATTTTCTATATTCGTATTTAAATGTATGGGATTTTGGTCATTTTTTTAAAAGGGTGTATATATATTTTTCATTATTAAAATGAAAACATTTTCTTTTTAAAATTCGCAATTGTTTTTTTTTAAATATAGCAAACATATTTGTACTCCATATTCAAGTATTATCAATGATAGTAAATTGTAAGTTTTAGCGTATTTTTGGTTGCATTTAAATGTATATATGAATTTTTAAAGGAAATTAGGCTTAGCAGGGAAATATGACCGGTCCCGTGCATGCGTATCCTCTCCAAACGAACGGGCCTGAGGAAGCGGTTTTTCTCCTTCCGCTGGTGCTGAAGGGGTTAAAGCAGTGCTTCTCAAACTTTCAATACTTGCGACCCGATATCCAATGACAATTTTCATCGCACCTCTCTCCGTACACTAACGATGCATTGAATTCGATAATACGATACTTTGACGCCAAAGCTACAAGACGACTTTAACCTCTTCGCCACCGACGTATATAAATGACTCGCCCAGCCAGTGCGTAAATTTTCCAAGACGTCTGTCCGAAATATGTTCATCGCTATCCATAAAATTATTCCAAAGACTTTGGAGTGCAATACAATGACCTTAACACTGTTTGAAAAGGATTTTCTTATATTTATATTTTCCCTTTCTCCCCCCCCCCCTCAAAATACACCACATATGCGTATATACGTGCAAAACGGTAGCATTAGGGAGTGAATCGCGTAAATTTTAATCTGCAGTAAAGATATTAATTATAAGCCGTACAAATGATCCAGATAAGTGTTAAGCTTTGCATATAATTTTATATAGGGCCAACCGGTGTGTGGTCACTGGTAATTATTAAACTTTTTCTTAACTTAGTATAGTTAAGATGATTATAAAGTTACTTGTGTAGTACTGATGCATTTATAAGTGTATTATATCAGTGTAAATGTATTTTCATTATGACAGAATGTGTTTTGTTTGTATTACTTTAAAAAAATTAATATTTTGAAATAATCTTTTGTTTTCAACTTTTCAATATGTTCGCGCCCCTCTTCTAGAGTTCTCAGGCCCCCTAAGGGGGTCGCCCTACAGTTTGAGAAGTGCTGGGTAAAGGGTACACGTATTTGTGATTGAATGCAATGTGCATCAGATAGAACTGATCCTAGGGTGGAGTCCACCCGCGTGCAAAGACGTAATGTAACGCTCTCCCCAGAAAATTTTTTCAAATTTTGACTAATGAGTGGCAAGTGACATGTAATGTACGGAGTTCCTGTTCCTGAAAGGGACGTACCTCCTCATCAGAACTGATAAATTTAGAGCCGAATTAATGGGGTGACATAAGGTGAGAAGAAAAAATTTTCAGAGAGAATTAAATGGGCAGACCAAGTCTGCTAAAAACAGTGACTAATGAGTGAGTGAATATTAACGTCGCACTATTCAGATACACATGGGCTTTTGGTGACGGACCTCGCAATTTTGAACCATTGTCAAGTGACGAGGACGACACCTGAGCTAGTACTCTCTCTTCTAACTCCCATACAACACCAATGGGAGGATATTTGAGTTCTCGACATATTTAACGTGCATCGCTCCCCTACACAGCGGATCTGCAGCGGTACTAGGCTCGAACTTGTGACATACCGACCACGAGTCCGTTACCTTGACCATTAGGCTTCCGCTGCTTCATATTTTGACTAATACATATGCGACGTTGTTAACTCATCTACCTGTATAAGAGTAAAAAGTAAAATGTTAATAAAAATGCAAAAAGACACAAAAATCCCTTTTTTTCTTTCCATTCGTTTGTCTAAATTGTAAAACTATTATTAAACCGAAACTTTTTGCATTTCACAAATGTATATGGGGTTTAAACATTCATATGTCTTAGATAAAGTGTAGTAGTAGTATTTGTTCCCCAACCTATTTATCGCCGCGGACCTACCAACGATGGATAATTTTAACGCGGCCCGCAAAGAAGGGAGGACGTTGATTGTTTATTTTTTAGAATGTTTTGTTTGAATTATTTTTCAGAATAATATAGCTACACCAAAAATGAGTACAAAGTGTTTTAACAAAGAATATAAAGTGATTTTCATAAAAAGTAGCCGGAACCCAAGAAAAATATCCCGCAGCAAATAAAAATGAAATCAATTAATGTTTTTTGTGCGGACCAGTAGTATTTGATCCTCGGACTGGAGGTTGGAGGTCATTGTCTTAGGTAATATTAACCAGATTAGATATTTTCAGAAACAACTTTCTCAAACATGCGTTTTGAGACACCTTTGTCAAACATTGATACCGAGTGCCCCGCAAATGCGATTGATAAGCAAGAAAGCATTTCTTATTGCAGCCTTGTCACCTCTACCACGAATCTTGCCATCAGAAGAAGGATGTGTGTAAAGAGTAGACATAAATGGACAATAGGCCAACACACTGCGCACAAGCATTTTATCCTTCTTAAACTATGCTATGCTATCGGGAAATCGGGATTTAAAATAATGTTTCAATAACGATTTAAAACTCTGCATAATTATTCGACTTATGATGAGTTTTATTTTGAGAAATTCGGAAGAAATTTTGCTTGTAAACCATATGAGGCATGTAGTTGCTACCTTGTTTTGGCCGCCTGCGTGTGCTGCATGCACTGCACAACTGCTAGGATCAGCCCCAGAATCAAGCAGCGAGGAATCTGGGATAAGTCTCGTAGAGAGCACTCCAAGTAAAGGGTGTTTTTTTAGAGGTATATAACTTTAATTGCAATAAAACAACGATGTATTATTCGATTGACATTAATTTTTTTTATTCGAAAGAAAATCTTGTGTCATTACATTTTAAATATGATTTCTGGCATAGGACTGCCACGGCTGGCTCGGATGTAGTCCAATCTGGACGTCCAATTTTCGATGACTTTTTCCAACATTTGTGGCCGTATATCGGCAATACCACGGTGAATGTTGTCTTCCAAATGGTCAAGCGTTTGTGGCTTATCCGCATAGACCAATGACTTTACATAGCCCCACAAAAAATAGTCTAGCGGTGTTTAATCACAAGATCTTGGAGGCCAATTCACAGGTCCCAGACGTGAAATTAGGCGGTCACCAAACGTGTCTTTCAATAAATCGATTGTGGCACGAGCTGTGTGACATGTTGCGCCGTCTTGTTGGAACCACAGCTCCTGGACATCATGATTGTTCAATTCAGGAATGAAAAAGTTAGTAATCATGGCTCTTTACCGATCACCATTGACTGTAACGTTGTGGCCTTCATCGTTTTTGAAGAAGGATTCCACCAGCTCATAAAGCGCACCAAACAGTCAGTTTTTCTGGATGTAACGGTGTTTCGACATACACTTGTGAATTAGCTTCACTCCAAATGCGGCAGTTTTGTTTGTTGACGTAGCCATTCAACCAGAAGTGCGCTTCATCGCTAAACAAAATTCGCTTATGAAAATCGGGAACAACGGCCATCTCGTTTTGGGCCCATTCGACGAATCTACGCCTTGCTTGATGATCGTTTTGATGAATTGCCAAACCAAACTGAGAATAAATCACTTGACAGCTGTTAAATCGGTCGCCATCTTGGAAAGGAATGCCAACTTAAACTTCTATACCTGAAAAAAAACACTCTTTAGAAACACAGGAACGAAGTCGCTATCTTGCAGAACAGCATGCAGAAAGACTCTGAAAAAGCAATGACATACATCGATATCACTTACAGTGCTTCCAAAGAGTGTAGTAAACACATTTTCCTTCTATTTTGTATCCTTTCCTTGTTTTCTGTAAAAAAGAGCGAAATCAAGCTCGAGAAACACCCACTTCTATTCACTGTAACCTACCGCATCAGAAAGGCATTTGTAACTCGGAATTTACGTAATTTCGAGTCATCTAGGTATACCCTATCTCATATTGAAATTTGGAACATCCTGGATCATTGGCAGGCAACCTTTCAGTTGTGGCGTGCCAGACCAATCTACCAATATGATTCAGCGTGTATTTATAAGCAATGTCCATACGACTTATAAACGAAGCAATGTCCATATTTATATCGAAACGAAAGGAGTGTGTATCCGGGCGATTTAGTTATACAGTCCACAATAAGTAGTTCCATGAGATAATTTAGGTATAGTAATGTTTAATTACATACGAATTGCCGCGAAGCGGCTTACATTCTACGATACAAGTGACACACACTGACGATCTTTTCAATTTTAATACAGATGTGCGCACACCAGCGCCCTCGCGTGGCCAATATTTCGGCACAGCGTGCCCCACAATAGCACATCTTTGAAACAATTCGATTCTCACGATAATGCATGCAAAGTTAGAGAATAGAGATCAATAATATAGGTTTACAGATTTATTATATATCAATTTTGCATTATATTTAAAGATATTTCTTAACAAAAAAATAAACTATTTTTTCAACAAATACAAAAAAAGAATTAAAATTGTACATGTATTCTGTATTTTTTAAATATATTTATTACAACAAGAAATAAATAACATATAAAATACAAGTTTTTCCCTTCAATACAGTTAAATAAAAAAAAATTAATATTTTAATTCGAGGTTTGGCCCCGCACCGCTATATTTCACATTGCAATATCAGGGGTATAATTTGTGACTTTCAATTTGACATGACTCCAAACATTCAATTGCTTGACAAATTATTTGCGGATTCTAAATAATATTTTTCACACGAGGAAAGATTTTTTCCCTTCGATATATAAAACTAAAAGCGGAATGTAGAGTACATGCAATGTTCTCTCTTCAAAGAATTAAACCTTTTCAGCAATGACATTCAATAATTTACACAAAATAGCTATATCTTTCAGATTTTTTCGTAATTCCGTAAATGTTCATACTTCTGAAGAAGTTTGTCAAATAAGGTTGATTACAAATTTATCAACATCCATCCACACAAAACTGAAAAACATGTAGTGAAGTGCAGAATGCCACTGAGAATTGTGAACCGCGTGCCATAGGTTGCCAACCCTTGCCCTAGATGGAACGCACTGCAAGACAGCTTTATAAATTATGAATTTTCCATTGCTATCACGTAACACTGACGGCATACGATACGGTACTTTATTCTCGTAATGTTAACAGCATATCATTTGATAACTTTAACTTTCCTTTTAACATACAGTCACTTTCTTTACTTGGCACGATGGCTTGGGATAACATCAGGAAGTAAACTTTTGATTCCCCTGTAAAATGCTACCAAATTCAAGATCACTGGGCTACAGTGGTATAGTTTTATAATTTAGAAGAATACAGAAAAATTAACAAAAAGTCAAGCTAAAATTTATGCTATAGAAATTAAATAAAAGGAGAAAAATAGAAACCCAAAGTTAAATACTCTTAGGACTTTTCATTTAGGTCGAGTGGGAAATACATTACATGATAAAATTAAGGAAGTACTCTCTTAGGAATTTGTGGAAAATTTTGATATTTTGATAATGATTGTCATAAGGAAAGCTTTTTTTTTTAAAGCTGGGATTATATAAATTATATATGTGGCTTGGCCTTAAAATTCTCATGTGAGAGTAGTTTTTGAGTTACAGAAATGGGGGTGATATACACACACGCACTTTTCTACCTTAGTTACATATTTTATGCTAGAAAAATTCGATACATTCAGAGAAAATAAATATAAATATAAAAAAAAGAAATGACCACAGCAACTTTCCGGGAAGCAAATTTCGCGCATATTCCTCTTCTTCTGAAGGTACACAATTTTCTATTTCTCGAGGAAAAAAATTCCTTCGCCATCGATTTTCGAATGTCGCAGGTGGGGTCTTTAGAGAATATTAAATTTTCCACGTCACCCCATCGCAAGGAGATGAAAATACTTTGACGGCTATTTGCATAAGCAAATGCGACCTACTAAGCGCCTCTGTTCTTTTTTCTCTCCCTACTTTTTCCGTTTTACTTCGGCTTTATACGATCGTATTGGTTCGGGTCAGCGGAGAAACCTCATTTTATGGAAATAAAATTACGTTTTCTTTGACGGGAAGAATGCATTTTCAAATAAAGTGTTTGATATTAACACCACACAGAGTAAAATAAAATTGGAAATGTTTTTATTTTGCGGGAAAATTACTTATTCAGTTTTCTTATGTAATAATATAATTGATGTTAAATTGGATAAGTTAATGTTATAACAATCAAATGCGCGTCTTCAATAGTTAATAAATTGTAACATAATTATAAAATGAACATTTCCACAATGCTCCAATAAGAAATAATAGTAACGACTTATAAGAATTTAAAAGGGCCTTACTCTCAGTACAATTTCAAACAAGTAATTTTGTTAAAAGAAATCTGGGGATAAAGATAAATAAATTAACAATGTTTATTTAATCTGAAGAGGTTATCTAAAGGGAATAAGTCATCGAATGTCTAACATGAGAATACTACTTCCTACTGAGATGCAACTTCACATTCTGAACAGGATTATCGCTTATTTTAAGTATAATCTCCTTTTCCATCGTCCTCGAGCAAAACCAATATGCCTCATATTTCGAAAAGCACCACACCAAATTCTATGCAATAATTAAGAAGAAAAGGCTTGATTTTTTTAGCAAAGAAACAAACAAAAAACGCTTGAGATTAAAGTTTCGACAGTTTGTTCAAAAATTCATGTGTTCAGATTAAAAGAAAAGTGCAAGAAAGAATAA